AAAGGTTGGCTATATGTGGCGAGGAAGTGCAACTTGTTTTAAAATGGCACAAGCAATAGCATGCTTGATGCAGAGGGAAATTGATGGCTTTACTCCACAAACTAACGGAAAAATGCTTTCACCAGATTGAAGCTTATGCTTAATGGGATTTTATTAATTATCAAAAAAAAAGTTCTTTGACCTGATGAAATACAAGTGTATAAAGCATGATTTATGGGTAAAAACTTCCATATTTTGGTGCTTGGGTTATCTTTTTATAGTACGAGAATATGAAGATCATTTTCTTATATTACATATATCATAATATATTTTTAAAAATAATTTTATATTACATATACATATACATATACATATAAATAATTAGGTAAATTATACTTTAGCCCCCTTTATGTTTTATCACTTTCTCATTTTGATTCTTAAAGTTTCTTTTTTTTCCACATTCACCGTTCATATTTCAAACTTTTCCCAAATTACACCTAAGACTAACTTTTATCAAAAAATAAATAGAAAATGCCACGTTGGCATCTACGGGCCACCAAGTGACATAAATGATATTATGATATTTAACCCAAACCTACGCTTTAACCCAAACCCAAACCCAAACCCGCTCACCCCTTCTTCTTCTTCTCCTCTTTCACTGTTCTTCACCTACACCAAAACCCTAGCCCTAATATGCACCTTCTCCCTAACTTCCACCTTCTCCCTCCACTACCACCACCTCTACCATCACCACTACCACCATTAACTCTAAATCGGGGGAAAAAAATTGAAATAAAAAACACCACATGCGATGGTGGTGCAACAGCGGTGACTTGGATCTGATGGCTTGATGATGAGATGGATCTAGTAACGCGCTAACCTGCAATGGTTGTACGACAATGCGACGGCGTGCAATTGTGACCTCAATATGGTGGCACACTAGAGACCTGGATCTGATGTGCGAAGGTGACTTGGATCTAGCGTGTGATGGTAGTTCGACCACGCGACAACATGTGACGACAATCTTCCATCTAGCGCAACATGGGGTCTACAGTGGGGTCTTCGATTTTCAAAATAGAGGGATATGGAGCAATGAAGATGCAAATTGAGAATGGTGAAATTAGAAGGTAAAGGTGAAGGTTGTAATGGATGAAATGGAAGTAGAGGGTCTAGGCCGTGGTAGAGGTAGATGGTAGAGGCTACGAAAGAAATGGTAAGGGTAGAGGAAGAGGTGAATAGAGGTAGAAGGAGGAATTGAAGGGTGGTGGTGGTGTGTTGCAGCACAGGAGGAGACGAAGATTGGGCCTAGGTTTTGTGGGATGTTTTGGAAAGTTGGTAAAAAGCTGGCTTTTGGCTTTTTACCAAGCTTTTTGGCTTTTTTGAAAAGTGATTTGGGAAGTTGGTAAAAAGCTGGCTTTTGGCTTATTTGTTTAATATTTGTTTATGTTGTCACATCACATTAAAATAACCAAAACACCCTTACCCAACTTATGAAATTTACTTTTTTACCCATGTCTTTCTTTGAACTATTTTTTGGAAATGTAATATTACAATTTTTCAATGTTACGTAGTTGAAATTATTAAATTACTCAATGTAATATTAAATTTATTAAATTTTTGCAATGAAATTGCGCTCTTCCCTTTATTTTTCTCCACATTTACGTCTGCTAAATGTAGTCGACAACCTTTGCTTTACCAAGACAAGAAGACAGTTTTTATAACAAGTTCAATAGTTTGACACATTCATATCATTTCCCGTCAATTGGTAAAGCCTAAATAGGATTACAGCCCAAGTTGATGCCAATGTCACCAACTCATTCTGAATTGATTTCCTAACTTTGTTCATATGTACGTCATCATCGCCCTCTAGTTCATCATCATCGTCATCACCAACACCCGCAACATTTGGCATGTCGTTGAAAGTAAAGGTCTCTACATTGGCAGCCTTGGTGAAGGCTTCATCGTCATCGGAGTTGCGGTGTATAAAATTATGTAGTGCCATTGAAGCCCCGACCAATAGCACATGCACTTTCCCAAAATCATATCGAGGCATGTTATGTAAGAATCCCCAGCGTGCTTTCCATACTCCAAACGTACGTTCAATTGCACTCCAAAAGGAGGAGTGCACCGTGTTGAAAACTTCATTTGCATTTCTTGCCTGTCTAGTAACGCGAAACTCTCCCTAGTGGTATCGACATCCCTTAAACGACACCAAAAAGCCTTTTTGGTTCTTGTACCCCGCATCAACAAGGCAATATTTTCCTGGTTGTAATAAGATAATTTTTCATTAGTAACATCATTTATCAATGAAATGCACACAACTAACAAAGATGTGAACACCCCTAATTCAACTAACCTTCCTGTGGGGTGGGGAATTGTTTGGCCGGGTCCTGTGTTACTTCGTTAAAAACTCTACCGTCGTGCATACTACCCTCCCATCCGCAAGAGATAAAAGTAAAACACAAGTCAAAATCACACACTGCGAGTATGTTTTGCCTGTACCATCCTTTACGGCCAAAATATGGTGCTGCCTCCCATGGCGAGAGATGTGCCTCCACGTGTGTGTCGTCTAGCGTGCCAATACAATCCTGGGCATGCACACACAGTAATTGATTAAGCAACAAGGACGAACACATTACCCCTAACATTGTAATCCATTGTTAACAAAGATATGGTTACTATTCATGAAATGTTGGGTAAATGATTAAACTCACTCGAAATGGAAAATATTTTCGTCAGGACTCTAAGTACCGTCTGCTGTGTTCTAACCTCGTCGGTCGATAGTGTGCACTTGTAAACAACTTCATTGCTTTAAGAATGCGCATTACATGATGCCATACTGTTTCCCCCGAGTGTTGGAAACGGTCTTCAATATCCCAACTCAAAAAGCCCCGCAACACGAATATGAACATGCTAACACTCTCAACTACGTCCACACCATGGGGACGCTGTGGTAGTAGAAGACCAAAATCCTCAACTAATGTCTTACACAACAATAAGAACACATCCTTTGACATCCAAAAAATTCGCTAAAATGCTTCATTCCGACCTTGAAACATCTCCTCCATCCAGAAAAGACCAGTCAATGATGATGTGTGAAATGGAATCCTATCAACATACACATACTCATTGGCAACGCATGCAATTTCCACCCATATCATTGATTTCATCGATTCCATTTCTCCGATCGTCTATTATATCCACGTATTTATTTGGCCATTGCGTACGACTCTAGAGCTAGTACCCTCTTGCGGATCCATGGACGCTACAAACCATAGAAAAAACTTATACAAGAATTGCATGCACTTTATAAAATAAGTTGGATTGGAACCATTAATACCGGAAAAAGAAAAAAAAAAGATCCAATTTATCTAGGTTTGTTGGCAGTAACCACTTTTTATAGGTTCCAACATTTGTTGGCCAAATGGTTTGGGTTCCAATAAATACATTAAATGGTTGTGTAAATAGATATTAATGTTAGACACGTACCACACCTTTGGCGGGGTTATGTTATTGTGAACTGAACAAAAAATGAAATGCAACAATTTTTCCACATAAGGGAAATTTGGAAGACAACAACAACTAAACTGATTATGTGCCACTAAGCTGTTGTTTCCAGACGAACATACCATCATCTCCATATATAGCACTTGTTTGACAAGTTCAAGTACCACATGCAACTGTTTCCATGTGATGCATGCAGAACAAAGATGTGACAATACCTTGTGATTCAATGTACATGCTGAAAAGTGGTTGCTAGATTACATTCTCATTCATCCATCGCATTAGCAACAATAAGCAACAGTTTCATTTGCATCACGAACATGTGACACACAAATAAATACATAAATATTGCACAAGCAATATTTAAATAATTACATAGGTATAGAAATATGAATAAATAAATAAATCAAACCAAAAATAAATAAATAAGTTAATAAATAAATACAACCAAAAGTAAGTACATAAATAAATAAATACAGAAACTGTAAATAAATAAATAGAACCAGAAATAAATAAATTAATTAATTAATACAGAAATATAACTAAATCAACAAATATAATGAAAAATAAGTAAATAAAGTGTGAAAATAAAAATATATAAATAACTAAATACAATCAAAATTAAGTAAATAAATAAATACAAAAACTGTAAATAAATAAATAGAACCATAAATAAATAAATATATAAACTGTATTTATTTTTAAAAAAAAATAAATAGAACATAAATAAATACATAAATATAAATAACTCAACAAATATAACAAAAAATAAGAAAATAAATACAAAAAATAAAAATAACTAAATAACTAAATACCAAAACTAAGTAAATAAATTGAGAAATAACTACAGAAAATGTAAATAAACAAATAAATAAATTAATACAGCAATATAAATAAATAAATTGAACCACAAATGAACAACCATATAAATAAATACTGAAATTTTCACAAGAAATCACTACATAAATATTGCAATTGCGTACACACTACGACATACAAATCTGAAATGTAGTACATGATGCATACAACAGATTCCATTGCCATTCTTCAATTGAGAAGTACAACATGTGACACAACAATGCCATGTACTGGCTTGTACACTTTGTAGGTATTACCCATGTCATACACTATGGATGAAAACCTACTCCTCCCATCTACCAACATAAAGACAAATGAGTTCAATCCTACAGCAATTAACACAACGCAAAAAAAAAAAAAAAAAAAAAAAAAAAAAAAAAAAAAAAAAAAAAAAAAAACTTCTTCTCCACTAAAAATAGCAAATTTGGCAACAATAACAAACAAGAATAACATATAGATAGTCGGCCTATTTCCAAACTTAACTAAATGCACCCATCACAAGTGAAATTAATGACTACACTATTGTCAAACATATGGTTCTTCTAAAAAGATATTTCGAAAACAACACAGAAAAAAAAAATTCCAGAACATTAAAGTCCCCAAACATTTAAACTACAGTACCATGGCTGCACTACAAAAGTCAGTGCAATAGCAAAAGCTTAATTCATATCAACCACACCATCACTCACGAACAAACGTACGTCCCATTCACGTTTCCTACCAACATTGGCCAACATGCAGGCACGCTTCTCTTTCAACCAGTTGACAATGTAATCCTGGGGAAGGGACATGATGAGGTCATGATTATCGGGTGAATCCATTATGCCGCAAGCGAATGAGAACAACTTGCCGTTAGGCTCCAATCCTGGCGTGCTCATTAGCCTTGCAAGACAGTCCCCCACAGTGTTCTCACCCTTCCCTGTGACAACATATTGTGTAATTTTCAGTTCCCGGCTTTGTTTGTTGACAGCCTCCACAAGGTTGTCCATGCTACTAGCGACAGTACCAGGCGCTGGTCGCTTGCGACGTTTTGCATTGGCTGATCCGTCAGTGACAGACTGCGGGGGAGCATCGTCGAACAAGGAACTATCCACCACGTTCTCCCCGATAGTATCATGGCCTAGATGTGGTGGTGTGCCAACACTGAGAGGTCTCATGCCACTGCCCTCGGTTGCATTGGCTATAGCAGTATCATCATCGCGCAGTTCAGTTAGAGTCCACGCACATTTCCCCATCGCAGCTACGCTAGAGTACACCTGTTCCATGAGCTCTAAGTGTTCTAGAGGCTTCGTCTTGAACTTAGCACATTGGTTGTTCATCTGAGACAAAAGAATAGACACATTCATATTGTACAATGTTTTACTCCAACAATAATCAATTCTAGTAATAATTCAAAGACAATAATTGAAAGCATATAAATAATTGTGAAATCATGCAAAGTTGTGCGGTGCACAAGAAAGAAGTTTAGCAATGTACCAACTAGTAATGAAAACATTAAAACTAATAATTGTAAACGTGGAACAATTATCTTGGACGACAACTTCAATGTATTCAGCAATTGCTTTGATTTTAGAAAGTAGTTCCGTACGCAAAATATTGCACTACAAATCATAAATAGTACAAGAGTAAGGAAAAAAAATTATTGCACGACATACCGCTTGCATTTTTGCCCACCAATGGTTAGAAGCTATGAACAAACCCGTCTCCTGGTCGTACTTAAGTCTTGTCAAGCCTTGACTGGCATTCTCCAGCTTCTTCCATGCAACCCAATCTTTCTTCAAGTTTTCATATTTGTTTTTCATTTGTTTGGCCAAATGTAGTTGTTCGCAACCTTCTTGTACCCACTCCGCACGGTTGTTGATTACCTGCGTCCATTTCAGCTATGACGAGTTGTAGAAACAGCTTGGTATTGTCACTGTCGAACTGGCATTTGTGGACTGGTTGTTGTTAGGTTGATGTAACTGCCTTACCTCGGTTCTTGGAAGGGGTACGGGGTGACGAACGGTTCATTGTAATGGCTAGTGCGATTGGTGTAGCTGGAGTTATGAGAAATGCAATCCTGCTTATATAGTTAATGATGTATCAATTTGACAAAAGTAGAGTATATGTTTTTCATGTCCACATCCAAAACCCAAGTCCATAGACAATTAAATAAATTCTACATATACTAGCACAAAACCCCAACAGAATAAGACAGATTTTATAACACTTTGCCTAAATATTATATCATACAGGACGAACACAATATTGACAACAACAACATAGGTGATACAAAACCAAACGTACATGTCACAACATCCATGGCAATAGATCACATACGAAACAACAACACAAAAACATTGACGCACAAAACACCGATGACAGTCCTAAGCATACGTAGGCTCTGATCTATGCAAACAACGTCCGCACGTAACCTCGTATCGACAACATTAGGTGGGTGGTCAGTAGCAAATATTTCGCTGCGAAACTCGTCACACCAACCAACCCACGCAACACATCGCTGTCGTACAAAAGTGAAATACATAGTTAGATTGCATGATATGCGCCATAACGACAAATGAACAATCACATGACTAACTGCATGAGAGAGGGGTAACACAAACACACCATATGACTAGGGCAAATGTAGTACGCACGCCCTGGGTTTTTGGCATATCTGGAAATCTTGACAATGCAATGTCCAAAGCCACATGCACACATTCTCGGTGGCCATGACGAAGTGGCAGTTGATATAGAGGACGCCATCTCTATAATCTTAATTTTTTTGTTGCGGACCAGTCAATCTGTTTTCAACTGCAAAACAGAATCTTTGGTTGGATCGACAGTGTTTGGTCAACGGTTTGATTATTTTCATTTATTTGTGACACTCATGTTCATTAGTTGCATTCGTTGTGTTTCTTGGGTATTACAGAACAACCTTTGTACTGTGAATAATATGGGTAATTCTCTACTAGTTCTATCCCACTATGTGAATATAAATATTTTTGAATGCTCTCCCCTTGTGTAAATTTTTATTCATAGAATTCATGTCATATAGTATTAGAGTCAACTAGCATGTTGAGTATGAGATTGAATAAGCTTCTCGTCTAAAATAGAATTATAAATACAAATACACGAACTCAATAATAGAGGCTATGTCACTATTTTGTTTTGAAGTGTGAACAAAGTAAACACTTGAAAAGCCACACCTTATGACATATGAGATAATTTACGATAATTAGGGATTAAAATTGTTTACCATGAATCTTTACACAATGGTCTTGAAATGTCACATTCAATGAATTAGGTTTAAAGGTAAAACCAAATGATATCATTTTAGGTTGTGTAGTTTAACATATACGCAATTCTTTTAATACTATTTTACTTTAATTTTAAAATCAAATTATTAAACGATGTATTATGTTGATGTGTCTTATCTTGATTTTTTTTTTTTGGAAAAAAAAAACACACATAACAAATGATCCTTATTATCATGTAATTACAATGACATTGCAAGTACTACACTATTGTATGAGATCAACATTCATCTAAGTCTCAACAGATCACGAAGATAATTGATTAGAACCTGGGTTAAACACACACATGCTAAGACCTTGCTTTTTCTTCCCTTTTGCATTGTTTGTCAAATGTGCATTTTTTGAGTATATGTTGCCTGGAAATCTAGCAATGATTTGAGGGGCAAACATGTGAAGCAGCTAAGCAAAAGAGACCTTCAACATGTTGTGGTCTATTTATATATACTCATTTGGAATCAAATATTATATCACCATAATTTGTAATTGTAAAATTATAATTATTATAATATTCTGTATAATTTTTCTATATATATGTTTAACTTTTTCCTTTTGCCACATATCATGATGAGGTTTCTACCTTTTTCGTTTTCAACTTTTTCACACTAAACTTGTGTTTGAATCAAACATTTTAGTGGGGATTTCTGGAGGGAAAAGGAAAAGAATGGGAAAAGTGATTAAAATAAACATATTGTTAGATCCTACATTAACATCCATCCATCCATCCATCCTTCCAAATAGATCTTCACTATCCTAGATTAACAAGTAATAATGAACTTCAAATAAAGGCAACCAACAAAAAACAAAGCTTTTATATTTTTTTTTCCAACAAGTGCAATAACAAACACTTCAAATGAAGGTTGATCATACAAAACAGAACATGTTAGAAAATTAGAACAGAGTTGAAAGCATATAATCTAGCACTGATCAAAGACCAAGAAATCAAATAAATCCAAACAATTAATTACTCGAAGTTCCTTTTTAGAATTGCAAAACTACGGAAAGTTGTTGCTGAATCTTATTCCTACCCACAAAAGTTTCTGATCTGGGTTTTGAAGAACAAGAAGGGTTTGGTGAAAACTGAACAATTTATGCAAATTTGAAAATCTTGTTTCTTAATCCAAGTGTTATACAACAGCAACAGCATACAACTATCATACAGCAACTTATCTCTTATTTTTTACTCCAATTTTCCATGAAAAGGGTTCTGGAAATAATAGTAACCAGATAACAATGGAGGAGGGTTTATGGCCTTACCTAATGCTGCAGATCCAGCGAGCACGAGGACGTAGAGGACGAGCCTGGAAGCAACGTCGGCGACAGACAGTTTCGTCATGAGTTGCAGAAGAGAGCAACGGCAAGAAGGAGGAATTGGCAACATAGGAGACGAAGAGGAAATGAGCAAGTATTTTGCCCTAGGCCCAAATTGTTAACATGGAGGGTAGTTATGTAATTTCACAGGTTGGCATCTTTAGCACTTCCCAAATGGTTTTCTTGTGTTTATGGTTGCCCATCTGCGTTTTTTGTCTTGCTGCAAAACACAGCTTTTAACTTCCATCCCAAATGACTTCTTTGAGTGAAGGAAGAACATTCAGATAGATATTACGGACAAGCGAGTAGGTTTGGGTTTGGGTTTGGGTTAAGGTTAAATATCACAATATTATTTATGACACTTGGAGCCAAGTGGATGCCAACGGGGCATTTTTCTGTTTATTTTTTTATAGAAGTTAGTCTGAAGAGTAATTTGAGGAAAGTTTGAAACATAAAAGAAGGGCTAAAGTAAAGTGGAGTGGAGTGGAGTAGGATGGGGTGGGATTGGGGGGAAGGGTGGGGGTAAAAAAAAATGACCCGGGGTCATGTCCTCAACCCTATTGCCCAAGCAGAGCTTCCATAAGAGGGGAGAGTGTAATTTATCCTAAATAATCTTATAAATTTTAAAAAGTAAATTTTAAAAAATATTATTTTATTATTATTATTGTCACATAGACGTGTTAACCGCTAGTTCACTAATAAACAAATTGTAGTTTCATGTTACAAAATCTAGAATGTTTCATGGAATCCAGCTATAAAAAACCTAACATTCCAGACTCAATAAATGTAAAAAATAAATATATTGTTGGCTTTTTAGCTTTCGAAGGTTATTTTTTTAATTACGAGCGTGCCAGCAAGGATCAATCAGTCCTTATAGAATATTAATTGCCAACCAATTATCAGACGATTGTGTTTTAGTTCTTTCATCCTCAATAAAGAGGACTTTTACTGGTGGCTTTGTTTAGGAGAATTAAGCAAACAATGATTAAATGAAAAACAATTGTAGTATCTCATTAAGCAAAATGAAAGACTTACAAAAATTCAAATCAGCCTCATAGAGGTTGAGAGCAACAAGTTACTTGAAAACTAATCCTCTGAACGACATGCAGTACAGGAATTTGAAGTATAGAAATGTAAAGAACAAGAAATGTAAAACTGGAAAGGAAATAAAGTAGAATAAAACTGGTTTTTTGGATCTGAGTCTGGGGGTTTTTCCAGGCCTTCTCTGCTATTTATACTTCTTAATGACAACCGTCAAAAAGGACTTCTAACTGTCGAACCATCTCTCCATGATCACTGATTATGCTTCCTTGCAGTTAGCTCCACTATGTCATATGTAGTTAGGCTTCCCTCCTGATTTTGAATTTAAATATGTGAGTAACCGTTAAGGTCACGTCATCTTGCATCTCTTTGCTGATTCGGTGTTATGCAGATCTATAACAAGCCAATGCTGACTGCCACGTGTGTGATTATGATTGAAGCTTTGAATTGTCTTCCCGTACTGCCCTTATTCTGCCACGTGCCGAACTGTGATTGGCTTGTGCAAAATATGTAGCCAACATTACCCCCCGCACTAATATACCCAATACTTGGTGATATTAGTGGAGCCAGGTATTTTACCCACATCCTAGAACGTGCATGGGCTCTGCATTTTTCAGAAATGTAGCCGTCATTCCTTAATAAAACATTTGCATTAAATTCTCTTCTAACCCTTGAACACTCCTACTATCTCAGTATTCGAAAAGACTAGTTCAACTCTTATGGCCAAGCAGACCTTTTCCTACCTCGATCAACCATACGAAGAGTTGTTTGATAATGTTGTTCGTCCTCGAAAGAATCTTCATGCATCGATTAGCCACCTTTACCCACCTTCTTATATTCAAGTCATGGAAGCTTTTGCAAATTATCAACCTTTGGATTACGAACCTGTTATTCACAATTCCTTAACCCAAAATTTTGCAAACATGGATATTGGAGGCTCTTCTTCTGACCCAAAACCTTCTGCGTGGGATGAAGTTGTCGCTTCTTCTTCTTCTGGGGCTTCTGGTTGGAGAAGCAGGCCAGAACCTGAGGTGTCTAAGTTAAGGGAATGAATCAATCATCATTTTGTCGAATTCGTTGATCCTCTAACTTTCCCTCCCTTTGCTCGGAGTTCAGTGGTTTACCCATATGTACCCATTGACCGCCAACACTATTTA